AGATTCTACCATTATTTGCGTTAAAAACACTATTTTGTTGAAACAGAAATTATATGTTTCTCTCCTTGCGTTACTGCCCTTGCTACTTCATGAACACAACATGTTAATTACTTAGTGTGAATAGCAGCACGCTAATTAATTAGTATCAACAGTGCAAATGATGTACTATTTTAATTATAATCTTAACCAAATATACATAAATATTAAATTAATCTTAACTAAAAATATTTTTTATAAAACAATTTTTTTCAAATTATAATCACAATAACTACTACAAGACCAAATACAATCTGTTAGAGAATAATATAAATCATATCCTGAGACCTTACCTAAAAGTTTAAATTTTTAGGTGAAATGATTTTTTAACATGGTATCAGAGCCTTGATAACCAAATAGTCTCAAGTTCGAATCTCACCATTCCCATTTATTTGATAAAAAATAAGTATAAAGTAATGTGGACCTGTATAAGTTTCAAGTTTAAAGGGATTTCATTTGAGGGAATATCTTAAAAAATAATATAAATTATATCGTGAAACCACACTTAAAAATTTAAGTTTTTAAGTTTTTAAACGAGTTAATGTTTTGATACAATCCAAACCCTTTGGAAGCATACGAGCTAGATTCACTCACATAGCATAAAATACACAAGCCAAGGAAGCAATTAAGTACCTAAGGTACGTGCAGAGCCTAGGCAGGAGCAGCAACATTCTGAACCCTGGGGTGGCAAAAACAACTCGTCTCCATAATCACAGTCCACAGGAACCCAGAAAACTCAGTTTTGAACGGGTTAGCTGACGCATAGCAAGGCAACCCATTTAACTCATTTAATAATGGATAAATATGAATATAACTAATAAATCTTAACGAATTTTATACATGGATGGAATGAATAATCCAAAAATTGAATAATATTACAACTCCTGTCTATTTTTTTAGGTAATAATAGACCTCTTGTAACATTAAAAAAGAAAGTGAAGCTTTCTCGCATGCTCATCTAGTCCCTAATATATTTTTAAAATTTATTGAGTTCCTATATTTTATCTTCTTATTACAAATAAGTAATTAGTTGAAAGTTTTAGGTTTTCATACTTTTATGTAAATAGATTCACTCCCTCAATGAAAAAGCTTTTTACAATCAAATCCCTGTGTTACATTCATTTAACTAGATATAGGTAGCTTGGTCAAACATTCATTATGGATAGGATATGGATTCAATGGGGATGAGTACCCTTTTAAAAAATAAATAGGTCATAAATGATAATAGGTAAAGCATTACTCCTAGCCCACCCATTTAGACGTCCCTAGCTGAAACAACTTTTTAAGATTCGTGTTGAAATTATGAACAATTTTGGTAATTCAATTTATTTGGAACTGTTGTAGATTGTGGGACTTTCCAAAGGATTTCAGAGAAACACAGCGCTGAGACAGACATGTATATACACATCAGGGTACAAATGGCGTTTGAATGCAATGAGCAACTGAAGTTAATTTAAGTTTTCAGAATGCCCACTTCCAAGAGAATTGAAATTAAACCCTGTTCTTGGAGAACTGGAAACGATAATCTCAGTTTCAGGAAACTGAACATCTGTCTCCTCTTCTGAAGAGTCGGCATCAGATGCTTGAGAATTATCACCCATCAAACCAGATTCAAATTTTCGACGCCTTTCCACAGCAGCCTCAACCTTCTTCTGAAATTCTTCGTCTGTGGAAGCCAGCATGTACCGCAGTTTAAAATTAATTCGATTCTCTACCAGAACCTTGTGCCTTGGAATTATTCTGTCATCGAGAGAATAGCTGAAGAACCTGAAGATTGCATCACTAGCCATCAGCACCAAAGGTGCACAGGAAGAGGAATGAAATAAATGACCAGCAAATTTTTATTCAGCGAAATTTTTTTCTAGATAATCCAGGCAGTTACTCATACGTAAAGGGCACTGCAGCAATAACTTGGACTAGTTGGGATATTTGTGAAGCTTTGTAGAGTTGAGAGCCTCTACTGAGCAGTTATCTTGACTTACAACATGCTTCTAAATGAAACTAGTTAGTTTTGGTAGAAGTATTTACCTTGGAAACTCAATGAGATCCTGCAAAGGCCGCACCATAGTTCGCCTCAAGTACTTGTACTTCGGACGGAGGAGATCTATATTGTACCGCAGTAGCATGGGAAAATCAGCAATCATCTCACCCAACTGTCGATGGCGTATGCCAAGTGAGAGGAGGTATTTCAGATTGATCTCAAGCTTATTCACTATGCTGCATCCCAAGAGCTCAGGCCCCAAAGCTATAGCCTTTGCGATATTTCTCTCACTAACTCCGGCTTTTGTCATCAAGAATATGACCTGCATGTTACTCCAACTTTCAGTAAAATAAAGTCCAGCTTTACTTGCATTGAAAAGTGAGATGATAACTAGACAAAAAGACATGGAGATACATTTGTACAATGAAAAACAGACCATCTCTTTAAGGGGAAAAGGGTTCTTAAATAATGATATGATAAGAAATAGAACAAACCACTGGCCGGATTTTCTTGTAAAGGCTGTATGTTAACAACGGAGGAAACTTTACAAGCATGTTGCCGATAGCATCATCTCTAATGCCTATATCCTGAAAAAATCGTACCTTCACAACGAACAGCAAAATCATGTCAATTCATTAGAAACAACAGCAGCAAGACTAGCATAATTTCATTAACATCTCACTTCATGTTCAAAAGTTCATCTTTCAGGCAATCCAGAAACAGTCACTAAACATTAGCACGAGGAGAAAAATGAGATTAGCAGGATGAAATCCGAATCAAAGGAACTCAACAGGATTAAATGAGTATGAAAGAACGGGTAGTTGTGTACCTTTGGCACTATTGTTTGCTCCAAATCAACACAGAAAACCATTGGTTTAATAACAAGCATTCTCTTCATACCATCACGTGAAATTCCAAGGTAGTATAAATACTTAACAAGAGGCTTCCATCTTTCTTCAATGGAACAACCCATCAACTGTGGCTTAAATGCTAGTAATCTCCCAACATCTTCATTGCTGAGGCCAAACTCCTTCAGATAATTAACCTGAATGAACAACATCATCCACTATATCATAATATTTATTGCTAGAAGGATTTTTCAAAAAATACATAATTGAGGCAGTGCTTGTTGCATCTCAATAGTAATTCATTGGCAATCAAGTTGAGCTGTTTCAACAAGCGAGAATAATTCAGTTACCTTTTGGTTCATCTCTTCCAAGGTAAAGTATCCAAGTACCCTGGGATAATCAAAGACCATTGTGCCGAAATCCTTCTCATTCATAACCATATCCAAGAAGAACCCCACTCGAGTTTTCACTTCTTCCATACTACAACACAACAATTGAGGACATCGACTCATTACATAACCCATCCAATCCATTCTCACTCCATTGCTCTCTAAATACCAAACAATTTCATCCAATTCTTCAATAGGTCGTTCCAAAATATTTTCTCCTGCCTTTGTGAGCACCGAACCAAGAAATTCCCCCTTCACATGAATTGATTTCAACCACTCAGTAACACGTCTAATGGACTCAACATTTCCTCTTGACATGTAAATAAGCTTAGCGATCCTAGGATATGACACTGCATTGTGTTTCAACCACCTATATAATTCAGCAATCACAATTAACACATTTAAAACCACATTGAACAAAGACCACAAATTTATAAAAACGAACTAGGAAAATTATCCAAGCACAAAGTGAGATGCAACCTACTGAAATCCACGACAATGAAGTAAAAAGAATTTAATAAAAAAGTAAACTTTCTCATAAACTGACAGATAAAAACCAAGTAATTCACAAAAACAACTACTCAAACACATGTTAACCAACTCTAAACTCAATAAAACCAATGCTTCACGACCATTGAAATCGCAATATACCTTATCAGTGGTACGACATTCAACTCCTCAATAACCCTTCTAGCTCTGTCATTAAAACTCAAAAACTTAAATTCATCCATTCTCTTCATTGCAGCAGCCTTAATCATGAAAAAATCAACAAAATCATCCAATCTATTAACCAAATTCGTCGAATACGTAATCCCGAACTTCCCTTTCTTCCTCATTGCTTGTTTGAAAATCTCAGCGGTCACCTTCCTACGTATCTCAATAGCTTTCACCACCATTTCTTCGTCAAAATCATCATCGTTTTCACTGTTATAATCATCTTCACTCTGGTTTCTGAATAGGGTTTGCAAGGGAGAGTCTAAAGATTCTGCTTTTGTTTGAAAAACTGAACCTGGGAATCGTGGGATTCTTTTTTTAGTTACGAGAGTTAGTTCTTGAAGTTTAACTCTCTCTTCTGGTGTAATTACATCCTGTGAAGTTTCAATCTTGTTTTGGGTCTGATTTGGTGATTTCAGGTGATGGATGAGGAGAGAGGTGGATTTGGAGTTATGCGTCCTGAGGATCGGTTTGTCATTGGTCGTTATCGTTGTGGTGGCGGCATGGCTTTGAGGGGTTTGGTCGTGATGGTGGTGGTGGGAAGAGGAGAGTTGGAGAATGGTGGTAGAATTGCGGTTTCTGTGGTGGTGGAAGTGGAGGGGATGGTGATGATGTGGACAAGAGAGCATGATTTGGGGTGTTGAATTGGAGCGTGTAATGGATAGGGTGGCAAAAATATAATGAAAATTTAGCTAGTTTTTTCTCAAGTATTAATAAAGCGAAATATCCTACACACAGAGTCCGTTGGTTTAGTGGTCAGGGTATTGAATCCAGCAACCCGAATTCAGATCTCGGCAGGACCTTTTCTTGAACTTTGTCCTCCGAGTTTTCTAAGGTGGCGCCTTGAAGTATTTACAGTAATGGTGATTAGTAGCCTAAACCTAGAAAGAAATAAAAAATTAAAAAAAAGGCTGACTGGCAGTGGTATTTGTATGCTTCGTTTTTTTGTTCTAACATCCAGGCATTAGTCGACCTCTTTTACACAACCAAACTAAAGAGGCTAAACCAATCTCAATATGAGACCCGGAACAATAGGGTTTAAGGTATTTACCTTGCCTGTCTTTTCTTTTTGAAAACGGGAAGGTTTTGAAAGATGAAATTCTTAGCAATTACACTTTACATTGCACAAAAAAAGACCATGAACAAAATATCAATTACAGATAAAAATGGGTCCACGACTCTTCTCAATCTTCTCTATCCAATAATCATTATGTAAGCCTTGCTTGCTTCCTGTGGTGGTAGATACGCACCTTTAACACCCAGAATATACCAAAATGGGCTTGAGACCGCAATCAACTCCATGAACCATGGACAGTGCACTGGGGGCACCAACAAACAGGCATTCAAATAGGAAGCCTGCTGTATTATTGACAAAGAATAAAGAAAAATAAACATCTTTGTTAATTTTAATCCTGTTTCTCTACATCCTGCTCATCATATGGTTCAGGGAAAATCTCTCTAGAATGCCGTCTATGTGACGAGGAATGGTCACCACCACCATTTTGGCCACTACCCTGAGAGTTTGAAGTTCCTGACTGTTTAAAACTACTTCCTCCTGGCCTGGCACTGGAGGCTGCTGGAATGACTGCTACATCAGATGAGCTGTGACGCCAACTCCCAAATAGAGAACCATTCCAAGATCTAGAAGATGTTGTTCTAAGCCTTGCAGAACCAGAATTTTCTTCCCTCACTACCTTCAAAGGATTTTCCAAAGCCTTGAGGATGTATCTCATAAGAGGGCGCCTTGAAGGCTTTGGATTGAGGCAAGACCTTGCAACAATGGCCATTGCCCAAACTTCCTCCAACAGATCTTCATCAATGATCAGAGATGGATCCACAATTTTTGTTACAAGTTCCTTGTCGTAGATACTAATGAAGGGTAGAATCTGTTCTGAAAATTCCTTCAGCTGAGCATCACTAGATGCACTGATGCCCAGCTTTCCTGTAACTAACTCGAGTAATACCTTCCCAAAGCAATAAACATCATAGGCACACGTGGTTGTCAATGAACCTGTCCATATTCAAGAAAAAATAGAGTTCAGAAACTACACCAGAAACATTAGTCAACTTTAAATTATATAATATTATGGAGATTCAGAATCAAGAAACGATATCTCAATCCTCCTTGCAAAGATTATGTATCAAAAACAATTGACAGTGAGTCAGTACATTATGATTCTGAAACTAAATCATGATTTTTCTAGGGCCAAATAGCATCAACCAGTTCAGGAGCAATGCTATATGAACAGCAATTCTGCATGAGCAAATTGGGTAAACTATGATATGGCAGGTTATTTTATCCCCTGTTCCAAGGCAAGGCAGCACCTTGTTAACCAGAGTTAAAAATGAACTACAACAACTGAAATAGTATTTTACAGTGATAAAAACCACCAATCTCATAATTCAGCAATGTTAAAAAGGTTCTGGATGGAAGATTTATATTGTCTTAGGAATGGATTTAATATTTCATGTTATCGATGCCTCAACCTAAAGTTTTTAGTAACCATATGTACTATAACACCATAACAAGATATTTAATTTTGGTGTGTATGACAAACCCTAGAGCATATAGTTTCTTCTAGCTAGATAACATAATGAAGCCAGGTAACATAATCAAATTTTGGTGATGTTTTACAACTATATCTTTACGTACCAGAAGTACCTTGCTCCAATGACCTGCACATGATAAAGAAACACTGAAATCACTGCCTTGATATGCAAAAACAAGCATGCAATATAATCCCTCATTACAGCTTACTGAGGCAAGAATTAGGCATTACCAGGTATGGTCCAACCACAAATAACAAAAAAATAACAAAAGAAGATTATATGCTAGTAGTGCATCATCGTGAATTTCAAAAGTGAGTTGAACTTGAACCATATGACCATGTCATGTTCAAGACCACATATATAGTAAACTACACTATGCTAGTGTTTTCACACTTTACACTTTCTTTCTTGACTATAGAAGGTGAACGCAATGAAAGAACTCTCAAGTGTTTACTTCTAACCTTTGCAATTATCCCCTGGTCTACAAATTGGAGAGCTTCCCAAAAGGACAGAAAAAATCACAAGATCCAATCTCCTAAGTTTCAAATAAATAGATCATAACTATGGAACATCTTATAGTTAATGAAACCCAAGCTGATTAAAGGGGATGCTGCAGAAAAACTTATTAGCGCAGTTTCTGAAACTTTTCCATCGAGAAAGAAAAAAGATCAATAAAATCACCCACTTGATGTTGGTGGCAAGAAAATTTATTACATCAAATAGTCAAAAGGATTTTCCAGCTGCATATATCAAATAAAAGCGAGAACTAGAGGAAGTTATAATCAGCAGAATAGTAAAAGCAATGCTACGTTTGAGACTATAAACAACCAAAATTAATGTCATTAAAGCCAGGAATGTCTCACGCAACAGGTACTCTTGAAAAGTAAAAATTAGAAGTAATTCAACAAGGTCATTTTATGGTTAACAGCTAGGTGGAAAAATAAAATACAGACTCGTTCACCATGCAGACCTCAAAATGAGACAACCAAACCCATCACAAGAAACTTCCGTGTAGATAACTAAATATTTACATGTTATATGCAAGTAATTAAAGAACATGATATTTATCCAGGCAAGGTTGGAGATTCAAAATGTCCGGACAGTGTACAGTGACAACTTTTAATACAATACTTACTGAGGCAAACGCAGAAACCTGGTAATCCTGCTATGATGTGTATCTCCTTCTTGAGTGCAGACTTCACTCAGGCTCCCTAACCGTACTTCAAATTTATCATCAAGGAGTATACTGCTTGCTTGAACATCTCTTCAAGAAACCAAAAGAAAACAGTTCAGTAATTACAGCAATAAGATGCACTTGCAATACCCTCCATCACACCAACTCAGACCCTACTTTTAAGCACCTGAACTATCACACAGGGCCAGGGCATTAGCTTCACAACAGTGAACTCAGGATTGACATAAAAGCAGACTTATAGTTTACCAATAAATTGTGCCACATAATTAACCTTGGCATTGAACATACAGCTATCTCATGACATTCATTTAATAGGATTTGAGATGTGCTACGATTTGTCCATATTTTATTGAACTTCAACGACTATATTGGGCACATAACTAGGTGTCTTCCTACACAATGCATGGAAACTCACTCACTGGAACAAAGAGGAAGTTAAGTGAACTTACTGTGATTGACAACAAAAAGAAATCACAAAAAGGAAAGTGAACAAGGCAACAAGAATAAGCGTATCTTCAGATTACCTGTGCACAATGGGCGGAGTGCATTCATGATGAAGATATGATAAACCCTCAGCAGCTCCTGTCGCAATTTTCAGTCTTGTTATCCAATCTAATGATTGCAAACCATCTTCTGAATTGGTTTTCCTGTATAAGGAACTTGACAAGTCTCCATTTGGCATATGTTTGTATATCAGGAATTTCTCATTTTCTTTCTCCAGGCAATGTCCCAAAAGGGGAACCAATCTGGGATTTGAAACTTTACTAAAAAAATCCAATTCCAATAAGTACGCTTCCTTCCTATGGGACTGCAGATCAATCTTTTTTATAACCACAGGGATCCCACTTTCCAAGATTCCCTTGTAGAGATCCCCTGAATGGCCATATTTGATGAGGTTCATGTCGCCAAAGTCACCAGTCGCTAGGAGAAGCTGCTGATAGGTGTATATCTCTCCTAAACTTGAAAAGTCAATTGATACACCAGGAGGTGGTGGACTGCTCCCAGAAGGAACTGGAGTTGCTGGACCAACCCCAACCCCTCTTTGAGTTTTATTTCCCGTCTTCCGGATGAAAAAGAGCAGCAGCACTATCAATATCACCAAAAGCAGAATAAGCCCAAATCCTCCCAAAACACTTACCAATATGATGACCTTTCTTTTGCTGTTCCCTGAATTTTCCCTTGCAGGAGGCTGTGTGGAGTTCGGGAGTCCAAAATTATCAAAAGTCAAGCCCTTTTCAGTATAGAAAGATGTACAGCCAAGCAAACTCCTCTGATTTGACAAATTTTGGAGACAGTTGCTAACAAGAGAAGCATTGTCACTCACATAATCTGGAACCCTGCCTTCAAAATAATTACCTGACAAGTCTACAAAGCTGAACCTTCTCAACACAGGTGTAAGACCTCCATAAAACAAATTCTGGGATACATTCAATTCTGCAGTAGTGGTATTAGTATTCAAACTAGCATTTGACAGCATACCAGTGAAATTGTTGCCGGAGATATCAAGCAAGCGCAATCGAGGCATTGACCACAGCGCATCAGGGACCGCACCACTAAAACCATTGCTCTTCAACACCACAGTCTGCAACTGACTTGGAACAGGAAACAAATTGACTGGCAAAGACCCGCCAAGCAAATTGATCCCAATCAGCATTCTCTGCAAATTCCTCAAGCCTCTCAACTCTGCTGGCAATGACCCAGATAATGAATTGAAGCTCAGATCAAGGTCAACCAAGTTCCTAAGGTCACCAAGCTGAGCAGGTATCGAAGACGACAAGTTATTGATAGAAAGATTCAAATACTGAAGCTTTGAAAGCATCCCAATGCCAGGTGGAACCGAACCGAACAAGAAATTCATAGAAATATCAAGCCTTGTCAAATTCTGAAGCGAACCAAATGATACAGGAATAGATCCAGTAAACTTATTTGACGAAAGATCAAGCACTGAAAGTCCCACCAATTGTCCCAAACTCGACGGAATCATACCCGTCAAGTTGTTATCATGCAAATAAAGAACAGTCAACCTTGTCAAATTCCCTAAACTCCCCGGAATAGCATTACTTATCAAGCAAGAAGAAAGATCAAGAGCTTGAAGGGAAACAAGCCTTTGACCAAACCAATCAGGAATTGAACCAGGAAGATAAAAACCAGAAGCATTAAAGGATTTAAGTCTTGTTAAATTAACAAGAGAATCAACTCTAAATTGGGGGTTTCGAGAACCAAGTCTAGTCCTTTTAAACCCTGAAATGTTAATTTCACTAACACTACCATTCTCACATTTGATACCATTCCAAATTGAACAAGGGTCTGCCTTTATTGGCCATTCCCTGCTTCTTAACCCCAAAGAAGATCTTAGTCCGAGTAAAGCTGCTCTCTCTATTGGTGAGGTAAGCCTCTCTTGTTGTTGTTGCTCAAATGTAGACTCAAAAAACAACACCAGAAGTAAAAACTTCAATGCTAATACACTCCTTTGATCCGCCATGGCTTATGGAGATTGAATTTCTAACACAAATACTCTCTTCTTCATATCAAAGATTCAAGCTTTGCATGTAATAAGCATAAATTGGTACAAACAAAAATGTGGGTTTTTTATTTGGCTTTCTCTCACTGCAAAGGTTGTTTCTTTTTAGTTTTCTCCTCATTAAAAAGAAACATCGAAAGGTGACTAAACTGCAGACACAGACTCTTACCTCAATCACAAGGTTTCCATTCAAGATTTGTTGGTAACCAATCTGAATCGCGCTATCTCTCTACCTACTCTCTCTTTCTCTTTCTAAATTCCAGCTTCTTCAGTTGACGAGAGAAACAAAAGATTAAAAAAAAGAAAAAAGAAACAATCATGTAGATATAATATTTCTTTAAAAAATAATTAGAAAATTAAAAATGGCTGGCAAGAAAGATACTGTGTGTGGACTATCACAGTATCTCTCTCAAAACATATAGGAGCAGTGAAGAAGGAAAACATAAAAAGGGAGGGCTCAAAAGGCTTCTGGTGTTTTGAGCGTGTAAGCTTTGACAATTCATAAAGTAAAAGACTGATCTAGGATAGTGGCTTGAGCTTTGCGAAAAAGAGGCATGAGCCAGGGCTCAGCTCATGGGTCAGGAGCTATGGACCCGTGTTTCAGGTAAATGTTCCGGTGGTGCCGAGGTTATGCTGGATTGGTGGTGTTGTGTTTGACCTCCGGTAATCATGCACTTGCCAGCTAAGTTCAAACTACTCTTCCTGGCACTCCCCTCATCCCCTGTTATTTATACCACAAGTACACTAATGCAGTATTGGTAATGTGTTTCATTTTCTCTGTCAAGATTTTCTCTCTCTGTAAGAATACAGGTGCATGTAATTATTTATTTAATTTTTTTCTAATTTAAGGGAGAAAATAAACGATGAATTTATGTCACTCAACTGCTCAAGGAAAGTTTATTAGAAAAACGTGGTGCGGATGGTGGTGGGGACGTGTGACATTTATTAACCAGAGATACTTTTCCATAATTAGAAAGAAAACTTGTGGGCCCAGAAACGCAAATTTTTCAAACTTTATTTTCAAAGAATTTAAATGATTTATGGGATTTATTGTTCTGATATATGAGATTTTTTTTTTAATCATGGAAGATATTTGATAAAAAAAAAGTTTCTTCACCCTTAAATGTTTGTCAAGTAGCATAAAATATTATTTTTCTTGCTTAATCAAGAAAAATTTAGAAAAATAGGAGTAAATTTTTTTTTGTATTTAGAATTACATTTAAATGTATTTTAAAAATACGATTTGCTTTAAAATTAAATCAATATAAATATATTTTTAAATAAAAAATATTTAAAAAAAAATATCAGCACACAGTGCTAAGCATGCGAGGGAGAAAAAATAGAGCATAACTCATCCAATCACATGCCGGATTGAGAGTAATTCGAATTTTCACCAATCTAATAATAACTTATTATTTGCTGTTTTTCCAGTATTATTGAAGGGGAAAAAAAAAAGCATGCATACGATGATTTGAATACAAGTATGCCGTGTCGGAGAGAGAGATGATCAAAGTACACTATAAGTGGTCATTGGTCAATGATTCAATAGTCAAACCAAACATAAATTTCGGGATGAATTGATGGTTTTATTGTGGCAGTGGGTGAATAAAAAACCAAGGAGACGATGTTGATGCTGCTCACCTGGACATAACGACGTTGTTTTATTTCATCTTCTCGCTCTAAAAGTCATCGTTGAATTAAAAGAATTGTATTTCGTAATTCCCATCATCCTGAGTTTTTGTTTATTAAATTATTTTTTATATATTTTGAATGTATTAATAATATAAAAATATTATTTTAATATATTTAAAAAAATGCTATACACCATCATAATTTCCTGAAATATTTTCTAACTTAAAATTAATTTTTTATTTTTATATTGTTTTAATATGATGATTTTAAAAGTAATTTTTAAATATATATATATATATATTATTTTTATATATTTTTAAATAAAAAACATTGTAAATCATAATTAATACCACATTCTTAAATACACCCTTCATAACTCACATCAACCTAATATATATTTTTAAATTATTTTAATTTATTAATATAAGAATATGTTAAAAAAAAATACTCCACGCCATCATAATGAATTTCATGGAGCTGGTTTTTTTTGTGTCCTGACCTGGTCCCCGTATGAGTTTTAATCCTAACAACAGCGGATTTTATTTTATTTTTTCAACAACTGATGATTTTATTTTACTAGCTGTGCTGGCGTGGCAGCAATAGTTGCAAAAGCGGGGCTGTTTGTTGCAGCAATTGTTGCCCAGGGGTAGTTTGGTACGTGTAAGGGACAAAATTGAAAGGTGTGTTGGAGGGTAAGTTCTCAATATTTCATTATGTTCTATTTATGAATAATTATTCGTATTTGTGCGTTCTTTTAAACATAAAAGTATTAAAATATTTTAAAAGGAAATAGATGGAACACATTTACTGTGCTAACCTCGAAGAAAGGATACATAAAAAAAATAAAACTCGTGACCCATAAAAAATGTCAGAAAAATCCATAACAATTTTAACCTTGTTAGGTTTGTTGAATTTATAATCTCTGATGTAAGCTATCGTACTCTGTCGGGCTTCAACGTGTGGAATCATGTATTTTCCTCGTCGTTTAATGAGTTGCTTGCTATCTTATCTTTTCTCATCCATCACTTTGAGGTTTTTATTTCTTTTAACATTTAGCTATTTGAATTTTGAAATGTAGCAAGCACACTTGAAAATTGACACGTGCCAGGATATTTTTGCAACTGGGGAGGGAGTTGAACCAAAAGGAAGACCAAAAAAAACATAAGTCACCCATTTTGTCTTATTACGTCTTTAAAAAATATTTTTTAGAAAATTTATTTTTCAAATAATTTTAATGTATTAATATTAAAAATAATATTTTTAAAAAATACATTAATATTAAAAATAATATTTTAAAAAAATATTTTAATAAACCACGCGGCTCTTAAAACATCTTGACACGCCTCAGGAAAAAAAAATGCAGCATGTAATAAGTGATTTGTGAAGCGATATGATAATCACCGGCCAAGAAATAATCACACCAAGCAGGTCTATGAGCATCAAAACTATATGATTATTATTATTATTATTATTATTATGATATAGAGAGAGAGAGTAGATTTTGGCACTTTTAACTGATACTCCTCCATATTTTCCGGTCACTGCGCAGATGGGAGAGGCAATTACAGATAAAGTTTTTTGCAGTATCTTGGTGCGCTGGGAGGCAAAGAGGGACAGTGGAGAGTCAAGCACGTTCAGTGGTCAACTCTATTTATTTTTTTTTTGCTGTATTGAGGTTATGGATAGCTTGTCATGCCATACACTGGTCGTATACAGAACATTGGCATGTGACAACAGCTACTGTTTAAAACAGCAACAACATGAAAATAAAAGCTTGTAACAGAGATTTTCAAGAAATTATTAATGGAAGTATTAATGTTGCCACGTGTTCCCACTGTTCAGCAGTTTATCTTCTATTTTTAAAAAATAAAAAAATATCATTTTATTATAAAAAAATTTAAAAAATTATCTCAATCGTATTTTTAAACAGATAATAAACGTAAAATCTCTTCTTAAAATATAAGACAAACCCTTAATTGGATAAATTTATTTATTAATTAATTAAAAAACTAACTAATTTTTTTTCTTGTAAAAATATATTAAATTGATATTTTTTATGGTTTTGATGTAGTGATTAAAAATAAAATTAAAAATCTTTTAAAAAAATTAGTCATCACCACGTCACTAAACTCTTTAACTTCCGGGTCTGAAACCATCACATATCAATGTTGATTGACACCCACCTTATTGGCATATTTACTACAAGTCATCAAGCCAGTCAACCGCGACCTGGTCTTTAGGCTCGCTGCTTGCATTCTATCTCGATGTCGGCTGCCATGTCATCATCTACACAGCCTCCCCATTTTTCTGTTGACATTCTTGTGTTTTCCATGTCATTCTAGTCCTTTGATTTTTGCTTGATTCAAAATGAAAGAGAAGTTAGCAAACAATAATAAAGACTCCTCGTTTCCTCCCTTGAAAGGAATCCCAAATCCATACGCCAAGCAGATCCCAGAACCCTTTCATAGACAACACATTAGGAGATCCGGTTTGGTTAGCAGTAGAGATTAACAAGTTTAAGAAAAAAATTAACATTTAATAAATTATATTTGTAAAATATTTTAATGTATTGGTGTTAAAAATATTTTTTAATATATATTTTTAAAATTAAAAAATAATTTTAAAAAAATCATTAACAACTTCCAAACACCCTTTTTAATAACTTAAATCAATAACTAATCGAGACAATTGGATTCAAGTGGCAACTATCTATTTGATGGATGAATAATGACCGCTCAACGGTATGCCTCGTTGGGCACTCGTGGACTAGTAATTTTAACTAGCCCCGGTATTAATTTAATGTTGTCATAATGTGGACTTGAGTGCATATTCTGGTGCTTCGCCTTTTCTTCTTAATAAAATAAGGTACTTTGTCGATTAGGACATGATTATGACGTGTCTGGGTGTGTGACCACGAGAAATAGGGCAGGTCTTTGATATCATAAATTTCAATATCTCTGTGCTTTTTAAATGAGATCCCAGGCTGTACAGTACATTATTCTTCGGCCATCTAAATATTAGATCTAATGATTGATGAACAAGCCTTTTTAGACACCACCATGTGAGACCCACGTATTAAAATGTGCTACACAATTGTTTTTTTCCTCTTCTAAACTTGGATCCAAATTAAATAAAAAAAAAATCAACAGATCATACAACCCGCATCAATCTAAGTGGTTTACAATATTTTATCTAGATGCCCTTCATTTTAAAATCTCAACAACAATACCTTTTTTTTGGCACCTCATGAAGGTAATGATCTTTCATGAGAGTTAGTGGTTCTATTTATTTGTTTGTTAAAATAGCAGTAGATTAACCTAATCATGTTTTGATCCCCGGATAATAATGGTTGTTAGTGCTTTCTATTTAAATGTGTTTGACATTGTGATTCAGCTATATTTAAAATTTTATTTATCTTTTAAGCTTATTTTTTATTTTTTTTTATTGTTTTACTATATAGATATCAACAATAAAATTTTTTAAAAAATATTATCTTCATGTTTATTTATCTTTTAAGCTTATTTTTTATTGTTTTACTGTATAGATATCAACAATAAAAAATTTTAAAAAATATTATCTTCATATATTTTTAAAAACATCAATTACCGAACTCCTAAATATATACAGGCTTGCGTGACAAACTGTGTTTGGCATGAGCAAAAGAGGGTCTCTCCTATATACAATTACTTTTAATTTTAATTATTATCATGACATTATCCGGTGAATTTGCTTCTAATAGTTTCATGCTCTCGTTTTCCTCTTCTTTCTTGGCTTCGACGTCAGCTGAGATTTTATCATCAGGGATTTTAAACACACAACTAAACGATGGTTTTACTTGAAGTGAAAGGGAAAGTGATGTCCTGCAGGGCTCCTCGTGCTAGAGTTAGCTAGACTCTTTGTTGACATTTTCACTGGCCACTCTCTACTTGTGATGAACTACAACTATCACCATGTCAATGAAGAGCACCACTGTTCAGAGCCAAGACTTCTCGTGTCTGGAAGACGAACAACCTTAATTAAAAGTTTCCAAGTAAGCCTGTAAGAACGAAAAAAGTC